TGGTCTTGAACTCGCAACATTCCTCCTGCCTCAGCCTCCCAATCTAGAAGCTTGAGGTGCAGCATAAGGTTGTTTATTTGCACTCATTCTGTTTTCCTTATACCCATGTCCACTGCTACAAATTTTCCTCGGAGGACTGCTTTCATTGCATCCCACAGGTTCTGGTAGGTTGTATCTGTATCTTTGTTTGATTGTACATATTGACTTCTTTAATTTCATCTGTGACCCATTTGTTGTTCAGGAGGGTGTTATTTAATTTCCATATGTTTATGGAGTTTTGGCAATTTCTTTTGTCAATAATTTCCACTTTCATTGCATTATGGTCCAATAATATGCATGGGATAATTTCAATTCCTTTGCATTTACCTAAGCATGTTCTATGAGTGAGCATGTGGTCTATTTTAGAGAACATTCCATGTGCAGCTGAGAAGAGTGTGCATTGTGATGTCATTGGGTGGAACACTCTGTACAGGTCTGCTAAGTCCATTTGTTCACACATTTTGTTTAGTTGTTATTTCTTTGCTGATTTTTTGACTAGTTGATCTATCTCTTTGTGACAAGGGGGTGTTAAAGTTCCCTGTTATGATTGTGTTATTCCTTATTTGGTTTTTCATGTCTGTTAACATTTGTCATATACAGTTGGGTGTTCCTACATTTGGTACATATATATTTATGACTGTACTCTCTTCCTCTTGCAGTTTTCCCCTACCAAGAATGTAGTGATCTTCTTTATCTTTTTTGATCATTATTGATTTGAAGTTTACATTGTCTGCAACCAGAATAGCTACTTCTGCTTTTTTCTGGATTCCTGTTGCATGGAGTATTGTTTTCCATCCTTTGACTTTCAGTCTAAGTTAAATGTGTTTTTTGTATAGAGCATTTTGTTGGATTTTGTTTCTTGATCCACTCTGCTAGTCCGTTTCTTTTGATTGGTGAACTGAGGCCATTTACATTAGTAGTTATTACTGATATGCATTGGCTTATCTTTGACATGTTATTTTCTCCAGTGCTTGTTCCATACTTTCCCCCTCTCTTTAATTGCTTGCCAGGCTTGGTGGTTCTTTTCTATTATTATTTTTTGAACTGTGGTCATTTTTATCTCTTGTAGAATATCTTTCAGTACTCTTTGTAGGGTTGCTTTGGTGATCGTGAATTTCTTCAGTTGATCTTTGTCATGGAAATATCTTATTTCTCCATCAATTTTGAAAGATAGTTTTGCAAGGTACATCCATCTGGGTTGGAAGTTGCTTTCTTTCAGGACCTAAAATACTTCAGTCCAAGCTCTAACAGCTTTTCATATTCTGTTCTTTTGCTGAATTTCTGGGATCTTGATTATTATGTGTCTGGGTGTAGATTTATTTTGGTTATGGCTAATTGGAGTTCTCTATGCTTCACTTATTTGTACATCAGGTTCTTTTCCCATGCTTGGGAAATTTTCTGCCATTACTTCTGCAAATAGTCTTTTTATGTTATTCATGTTGCCTCCTGCTCTTTTGTTGATGCCTATCAGTCTTATATTGTTTTTCTTTGCCTCATCTTGCAGCTGTTGAATTTTTATTTTTTGGTTCCTTGTTCTTTTAAGAGATCTTTCCTTCCATGATCGCTAGCTACAATGCTGTCTTCAAGATCTGAAAGTCTATCTTCAGTCTCTTTCAAGCGATTTTTGCCAGCTTTCAATGGAATGTTTAATTTCCTGGATATCTCTTTAAATCTGTTTCATGCATTCTAATTCTTTCCTAAATTGTTCCTTCCAGGTTTCCATCATTTTCTGTGTTCTGCTATTTTTTATCTATATCTTCTTTTCATATGCTGTGCAATTCTTTTATTATGGTTGTCATTTCTTTTTTTACCTGAGAGAATATTTCTAATCTGATTTCCTCTACAGCCTGATGCAATTGGTTCTTTACTTCAGTTGCTATCATTTCAGAAATTTTAGGTGTGTGACTTCCAAGCTCTTTATGTTGATGTTTCCTAGACTTGTTCTTGGTGGGAGAGAGGTCTAAGATTGCATTTTGCTACTTCGTTTTGTCATTTTTGAAGCTCCATAGGTTTCCCGGGACTGAGGGTCATTCCAGTGATGGTCATGGGGGGTGGAGCATGGAGTCTCAGGCTCCCAGGTAGCTTACTGAGGTTTCCAAGGCTTTCAAGGACTCAGGGTCCTTCTCTCAATGGTGGCAGGAGGTGGAATGCAGGGTCTAAGGCTCATTGGCAGCTTACTGAGGGTCCTGAGGCTTCCTGGACCTGGGGCCCTTCCCATGATGGCAGCAGGGGACAGAGAATGGGGGTGTTGGGCTCATAGGCAGCTCACTGAAAGATCATTTATCTATCATTGACCTAATTCCTATTATTCTCACATAGGTAAATATCTCCTATTGCCCACAAAGTAGCTAAATATATCCATATATATCCAAAAATGTAGAAAAATTACATAAAGTAAATATGAATGCATATCTTTTAAGTTTTCTTTTAACACAAATTATACCATGGCATATATGTAATGTGATATGTAATATATGTAATATACCATGCAATATATGTCCTGCTTTCCTAAATTGATAATATAATTTGGAAATCTCTCCACATCAATACACAAGGAACTTGCTTACTATTTTTATGGTGGCATGCATTCTACTGTTTGAGTACTGTGAAATTAACTAATTTAATCAGTCACCTATTATGACCTTTTAAGTTGCTTACTATCTTTTGCTTTTACTGTCCTTCCATGAATGACTTTATATATCCATCATTTGACTTATTGGGAGGCATAACTGTATGTTAATGCACAGAAATAAAACTGTCAGGTCAAAGAGGGGTGTATTTCAGACAGATATTGACAAATTATTCTCTAAAGTAGCCATACCAATTTACAGTCTCCCTCCCTGGCAATATGAGTATCTCACCAATATAATTTTCTGCCACATTTTTGAGTTTTGTTAATCTAATATGTGAAAATTGACCTTAGTAGCTTTTTATTTCATCTTTTAAATATTCACCATATTTAATTCTGATAATATTTTATTCTCCAAAATTTAGTATATAAATATAATGTAATCTAATTAGAGGTCCTGTGGGGATTTAAATTAAGTAATGTTATCTTAAAGTTTATGTGGAAGAATTAAAGTCTATAAATATGTTTAAAAGGTATAAAGATTAGAGAGAACACTGAATTTGACAGTGCTTGCCTGGGTATGATAACAGAAGCACAGGCAACAAAAGCTAAAACACACAAAAGGACTATATCAAACTTCTGCACACCAAGAATACAATCAGCAGTTGAAAAAGCAACACATGGAATGAGAGAATCTTGTATCTGATAAGGTATTAATATCTAGAATTTATGAGGAACTTCTGCAATTCAACAACAGCAACAACAAAAACCCAAATAACTGGATTTTTTAAAGGAGCAAAGGACTTGAACTGATAATTTACCAAGGAAGATATTTAACTGACCAATAGAAAATAACAACTGTTGGTGAAGATGCAAAGAAACTAGAACTTTTACATGCTTTTGGTGGAAATGTAACACAATAAGGGCACTATATATGTAATGATACAGAAAAAGTATGGATGTTGCTCATATGACCCAGCATTCCCAACTCTAAGTATATATCCAGAACAACTCAAAGCCAAGTCTTGAAGAGATATGTGCGTGCCCATGTTCATTGGAGCATTATATACAACAGTGAAAAGTCAGAAAAAAACCAGATGTCCATTGACAAATGAATAAAGAAAATATGGCACTTACATATACACTGAAATACTATTCATCCATAAAAAGAAGAAACTCCTGACATTTGTGACAATATGGATGAACTTGGACAATACTGAGAAGTGAAACAAGCCAGAGACAGAACAACAATATAATATATATAATCTCACTTACATGTGGAATTTAAAGTTAAACTCATAGAAACAAAAAACTAAACAAGTGGCTGACAAGGGTGGGAGGGGAGAGGAAATTAGTGTGTAGTGGGTATAAAGTCTCAGTTTTGCAAGATAAAAAGTTCTGTTGCATAAAGTGTAAATATTCTTTAAAACTACTGAGCTGTGTACAGTACATTTGAAAAGTCTTGAAAAAGTAGACTTTATGTCATGTAACTTTTTACCACAATAAGAAAGTATGAGGAACACTGTTAATAGTTGTATGTTCAGCAGTGGCCTTAAAAACCTCACCACATTGCTTCATAATTTTTAATTTTTAAGGTTTAGAAATAAAGTATTACAAATATAATAAAAGTTTGGATTCACCACACACTAGTCCACTGAGAATAGTAATACACCAAAGTAAATTCCACTTTGTTTTTCTTAAATCTTACCTTGTACTTGAAATGTCTTTATTATACCCACTTACTTAACAGCAAAATTGGAGGGAAGAAAGCAAACATGGACCACACAGTTATCACAGTAGTTTCTAGTAGGTATGTTTGCAAGACAAATCAATTAAGATTAGATTTTGTGATTATAAGAAAACTTTTAGACATTTCCTTAGTATGTATGGCCAGTTGCTAATAACAGCAAGAAAGACTTCTCTTTACCTAGTACTTCTTTTTCCAAGTTGTAGCATCTGGCTTGCAAGTTTACTTCTTGCTCTTTAGATGCCTCAATCTGCTGAGATTTCAAGATAGCTGCATCTGAGAACAACTTGAGCGTTTTCATTTCCTCTTCAAGGCATTCCTTATTTCTCTGGGACACCCTCAAACTTTTATTTAATGTGTCTATTTCTGTAAAGAAAATGCAAAGTTTACAAACAGCCACACTGAATCAAAAAAACATAATTCTCTAAAGACTGAACTTCTTTTAGAAAATAGTTGAAAGCCAAGATAGCTTTTCTTTTTTTTTTAATTTTATGGAAGAAAAGTAGATTAAAAATTCATAACAGAATAATAGGAGAATAACAATAGTTAATACATTGCATATTGGTGGGTTTTTTTTTGTCTTTTTGAAACAGGGTCTTGCTATGCAGTTCAGGCCAGCCTTAAGCTCACTTTGTAGTCCAGGCTGGCCTCAAACTTTCAACAGTCCTCCTGCCTCAGACTCCCAAGTGCTGGGATTACAGGCATGCGCCACCACATCCGGCTTTGTATATTGTTATTTTTAAGGAGTTACTCAGAGTAAAAGATATGGGCATAAAAAAAATTCTTCAGTTGATATTAGCACAAATTTTCCTTTTCGGTGAACTAAGAGACACTAGTAATATAATTAACTTACCTTTTTGCCTTTCCTTTTCCCCCATCTCAGTTCCTTTTTCCTTTCGAACGATTTCTTGTCATTTCACAGTATCTATTGTACATTTTAGATCTTGTTTACTCTTTTAATTTCTCACACCAGGGAGACAATATGATGTTTACACATGTGAGTCTGATTTATTTCACTGATGAGTATGGTCTCAAGCTGCACCCACTTACCTATAAAAGCCTCGTTTATCCTTTATGGCTGAGTAGCACTCACTGTGTAAAAAGGCCACATTTTTTTTATCCATTCTTTGGTTGATGGGCATTTGGGTTGTTTCCAATATTTAGCTATTACAAATTGTGCTTCTATAAACATGTGTGCACATATATTGCTGTGGTACATTTTTAATTTTTCTGGGAAGATACACAGAAAGGCAATAGCTAGGTCATATGGGACCTCTAATCCTAGTTTTTTTATTTCCACAGTATGAAAATAGTTGAAAGCCAAGATGTCTTTTCTGAGGTTATAATGACACCTAACCAAAGGGTTAAATTTAAATTCAGGCCAGGTGTGGTGGCGCATTCCTGTAATCCCAGCACTCTATGTGAGGCTGAGGCAGGAAGGTTACCATGAATTTCAGGCCAGCCAGAGCCACACTGTTAGTTCAAGCTTAGCCTGATCTGCACAGTGATAGCCTTTCTCAAAAATAAGTAAATAAATTTAAATTCAGTAGTGATTCTGCATAAGTGAGAAAAAGGGCTGTATTGCTAAATGATGCATGAAATATTTTAGTAGCTGTTTCTTAGCCTGTACATTATTCCAAATGGCAATACAGTCATCTTTTTCAGTACCTACATAAATGAGTAACAGACTATCTGTGTAACATTTGGGGTGTATTGAAATTACATTGTTTTCTTGCCAACATGATTTAGAATAGTGAATTTAAATGTGCTGGCATGAATTAGTTGGGTGGCAGTTCTAAGACAGAAGCTAGGATACATTCTACACAATTATGAAGAGAAGTGTGGGTAGAGAAGACTAGAAAGATGCAATATCTAACACTAATAAATTTATGGGAAGAAAGAATTAGTTAATAAAAAATTTTAATATTTCTAATAGTATGCTGCCCCACATGAGACCAGAATTCATCACAGCAATTTCCTATCATTAGTCTTAAAATTTAATAAAAATGTCTTTACAGGTCTATTTAGATTTAAATGCACGGGGCTGGGGACTTAGCTCAGCGGCAAAAGCACCTGCCTGGCAAGTGCAAGGCCGTGAGTTCGGTTCCCGGTACCGGAGAAAACCCCCAAAAAAAAAAACAAAACAAATAGATTTAAATGCACTAATTTTATATAATTTATTGAGAAATCCATGGAACATATTATCCATCAGAATGATTATCAAGCTCATCCTTCACCAATATTTTCAACACTGCTGCCATAAATAATCATTAAAATATATGAACACACATATAAACAATACTATAAAATGCTTACAACTACCATTAGTTGAATTGAAGGTATGACCTTTGCAAAACTATGGACATTTTGCTTTTCCATAGTTACCTGGCATCCCTTTCTTTGTTTAGCCCATCCTAGGCTGTGTGATATGTCCAGATACGACTGGATGTCTAACAGGTTGGCTTAGTTTATTGCTATTAGAGTTGCCATGAAAGAATCTTAGCCACATGGACCAGGAAAGACCAGCAGTAGAGGTACATATGACAGACATGGCAGCAGAGGCAACACGGCCAGCAAACCATCGCAGGAGAAGTAGAACAGTAAGCTAGCAAAGCAAAGCACCAAAAATAGAGCATGTGCTAAAGGGTAGTAACAAGCAAGGTCAAGAATGTTGTCTAGCCAAGCACAGTGGGATATACGTTTAATCCTAGCTACCCTAGAGGCAGCAGGATGACAGTTCTAAGGCTAGCCTGGGAAACTTAGTGAAACCTTACCTCAAAACAAGAAATAAAAAATGATGAGGATGTATTACGAGGGTAAAGCACCCCTGGGTTTTGTCCCCAGTACCAAGAACCACACCAAACCAAACCAAAACACAAAACAAAACAAGACCACCCCCAAACAACAACAACAACAACCAAGGAATGTGGTTTTAAAAAAAAAAAAAAGGTGGCTTTCTATGGCTGAATAAACTGTACCATACTCTAACTGCACCATCTACATTTCAGTGAGAATGACAGACAGTAACCCGCACATGCAGTCACCTATTGTTTATTAAAATGACCCTGCTTAGGTTAGCAAGCTGCCTCTGTTAGCAAGTGTGACTGTCCCTAAAATAATTACTCATATCAAATGTGACTCTATATTTGACATTAAAAGAGTAAAAATCTGCAACACAAACTTATTTGTAAAATATACTGTAACACATGGAAAAGTGCAGCAAGATGTCAAACCTAAGAAAGCCACAACATTCCTAACATGGAGTTAGGAAACTAAACTAAATAGAAGTGAATTAACTCACCCTTACAAACCAAACATTCCTGTACCTATGACAATCCTACTGGCAAAGATTCTATCCTTCCTTTTGCCATTATTTGAAAAACATTTGGAAATAATTATAGATTTCTATGAAGATGCAAATGTATAGGTAGGTCCTGTTCCCCTTTAACTCCACTACTGTGTTGACATTTGCATAACTGCAGTATACTATAAAGACCAGGAAACTTATATCCATACAATCTATAGAATTTATTCAGATTTCACCAGTTTACTGTATGTATATGTTGTTCTATGCAATTGTACCATACATGTAGCTTCATGTGACTACCACAATCATAAAAAAAAACCTACATCACCAAACACCTGACTCCTGCTACTCCTTTAGAGCAAAATTATCCACTATTTGTCCCATCATTTCTAATTCCTGGAAATTGCTAATATATTCTCTACATCTATATTATTTCCAAAGTGCAATATAAATGGAATCATGTATTAAGTAAGCTTTTGAAAACATTTTCTTTTCACTCAGCAAAGTTTTCTTGAGATTCATTTTTTCTTGAGTAGTCATATATGGAGTATATGGAATACATGTAGCCATCTGTCCTGCACCCACTGAAAGATATTTGGATTGTTTCTGGCTTCTGGCTATTTTATGAATAAAACTGCTAGGGACATTTACCAAAAAGTATTTTTTTGAACATAGTTCTCCACTTCCATTGTACAAATGCCCAAGAGTTGCTGTGTTATGAGGGAAACACATTTTTAGTTTTAGAGGAAATTGCAAAATTATTTTCTAGAATGATTTTATCATATTGCATTCCTGATGCAAATGTTGAGTGACCTAGCTCTTCTGATCTTTCCCAATACTTGGTATGGTGAGGATTTTTAAATTTCAGATATTCTAACATATATGTATTAGTATCTTATTGTGCTTTTGTTTTGCATTTCTTCATGGTCACTGAAGTTGAACGTTTTTAATGCAATTATGTTTTTATCAGTATATCTCCTTTGGTGAAATTTTTGCTAATAGTCTTTGACTATTTCCTAATTGGATTTCTTGTAAATGTTGAGATTTGAGAGTTGTTCGTTCTAAGTACAAGTCCTTTGTTGGTTAGTGTACTACGCAATGCTTACTAGAGGCAGATGTAAAAGAGTGCAAGACATCTGTCTGTGTGCTGGAGACCTGAAGGATCCACTCAAGGGCTTGGAGCCCTCAGCAATGTCCTGAGCAAGCCTGTAACAAGAGGCCAAAGGATACATGATGGAAGACCAAAGGGTCTGCACCCAAAAGGCCCAAGGGCCAGTGCCAGAAGCTGAAGGGTCTGTGCCAAAAGGCTTAAAGATCTGAGGTTGGAAGGCTGAGAGGTCTGTGCTGGAAGCCAGGAGATGACATAAAAGATGAAGACAAGGATTGAAGCTCCCAGAAGAAAGAAAGCAGCCAAAGCTCCTTCAAAGAAAAATTCCCAAAACTCTCCTAAAGAAAGGCAGCCACAACAAAGCTCTTTTAAAGATCAGCTCAATTCCTTCCTCCTGTTCTCCTTTTGTACGGTTCCAGTAACCATACCGACTCAAATCAGAAGGGCATTCCCACTCGAGCTGACAATTAGTCAATTAACTACTACAGCTAGCAAATACTTTCTCCTAGTCCATAGCTTGTCTTTTCAGCGTAACAGTCTTTCATAGAGCTAGCGTTCTTAATTCTTCTGTTTCTAAATTTTCTGCAGTTTCTTTTATGATTGATTTCTAGTTTCACTGCACAATGGTCTAATGATAAACATAGGATGGTTTTGATTCTTTTATGTTGGTTTAAGCAGGTTTTTTGGACTAGTACGTGATCTGTTGTGTGCTGCAGGGAAGAATGTACACTCTGCTGTATTAGGGTAGAACACTATAGATGTCTAGAAACTCCACATTTGAAGGTGCGGTTCAGCTCTGTTATTTGATTTTTTTTAGGTGATTTATCTCTTTGAAAAAGCGGGATATTGATGTCACCCACTATGACTGCCTTAGTGTTTATTTGATCTTTTATGCCTTGCAATATTTATTTTATGAAGATAGGTATTCCAATGTCCAGCGCATGTACATTT